GAGGGACAGAGAGCCAGGATGGCAGAGGGAGGAATCTGGCGGTGTCTGGTGGCGCGTCAGCTGGGGGGGAGGATATTTGAGTCTCCCCCGGTGGGGAAAGGCGGCGCGGGGACATTCCGCTAGATGCCCTCCTTGAGCACCGACACGCCATCCCCAGCCACATTTGCGTCGACAGACAAAAACACACAGCTGACCATATAATCCTGGGCGCGCACAACACGAACACACACACACACACGCAGCGAGAGAGAGAGAGAGAGAGAGAGAGAGAGAGAGAGAGACGGACACACACGAAAGCAATTTCACGGATGTATCCATGCACCTCGGCAGCCTCACAGACGTGCGGAGAGCGCCACACTTCCACGGGCTAGTCACGCCCGCCCGCCCGCCCGCCCGGACGAGGCCCAGACAACAGTGCCCCCTCGTCAGTCACCATCCCCCGGGCAGGGGGGGATTTTGAAAAATCAAGGCATAACGGCATGACGCCAGGTCCCGACGGACCAGCCCCTCACGGCGGGCATCATGCCCCCGAGGTCACAGGCATGCACGTGCGAAGTTGCGTTGGCAGCCTCTCTGGTCCGGGTGCGTGCGTGGCCCTCCCACCCCTCCCCCCTTCACCCCCGCCTCGGCAGTGTCCCGGAGGCGAAGATCGCTGGAGAGGGAGCCACGGGCAGGGCGGCAGCGGCTGGCCTCCCAAACAAGAGGACGGTCTCTGGGTGGCGGTTTGGTGCGTGCCACTCTCCATGGTGATCCTCCTCTTCCTTCTCCCCCCCCCCCCCCCCCCCGCCTCTCGTCCCCTCCCCCGTTCTTTCACCTCCGCTCGTTTCTGGGCCACTTCTTCGCTTCTACTCTCGGGCGCCGTCATGAAGGTCCATCGTGTCAAGTCCAGCCAAAAGCACATCAACTTCTTCCGACACAACTATGGCTTCCGAAGCCCGATTCAGGTTCTCGGTGCGTCCGGCACTTGTGGCCCCTTCATTTGGTGGGGGGATTTGTTTCGCCATCCCACTCACCCTCTCGCCTTGGATATGACCCCCCCCCCTCCTCGCCACCTGGCAGTGGATGCTGAGCTCTGCCGGATTGCCCTGCGGGGAAAGATCGACCTCCGTGATCAACTCCCCCAGCACATGGGGCTACCGGTAAAGCTTCTGACAACAGCCTGTGTGCTGGCCGAGCTGCGCAAATTGGCGGCCGAGTCGGACGCCCACTTGGCCAAGCTGGGTGCCTCGGCGACCGATCGCGATCGGAAGGACGCGACCGCCGCGTCTGGTGCCATCTTCGTTGCTCGGCGGTTTGATCAACGGCGGTGCGATCATTCCGAGGGGAATGAGGTTGACGGGTCCATCTGCATTGCCTCCATCATTGGTATGTCCGTGGCATTTGTTTCACATCCCCCTTTACCTCTCGCCTAACAACAGCAACAACAACAACAACAACAACACCCCCTCGATCGGTTGCAAAGGTGATGTCAACCAACATCGGTACATGGTTGCCTGTCAGAACTCCCGCTTGCGCTCTGAATTGCGCATGGTCCCCGGCGTGCCGCTGGTGTACATTCGCCGTGGCAAGATGCTGATCGAGCCCCCTAGCGAGGCCTCCATGCTCCTGGCTAAGCAGGTACGCTGCCTCGCATGCTCATGTGCACTTGCTGGCTGGTCTTTCCCCTGTTTGCATCCTCATCGGCTGGATGACTGATATTGCTCCTCCCACCTGCCTGTGTGTGTGTCTCGCTCTCTTTGTGCAAGAGCAGTCTTCCGAGCAGCGCCTCCTTCCCTCGGAACGGGAGAAGGCTCTGCTCAACCGTGCCGCCGACAATGCTGAAAAGATTGCCTCGCGAAAGCGCAAGAAGAGCGAGCCCAACCCCCTGTCAGTCAAGCGACCGAAGGTGGAGTCGACAACGACGACGACGAAGACGACTGGCCCTGCCCCGGCCAAGTCCCCCGCCTCGAGCCAGGCGACAACGTCGGCCGATGACAGCAATGCCAAGAAGCCCAAGCGTCGCAAGCGTAGCCGCGGCGGCAAGGCCGACTCTGGCGATCAATAGAGTATGATGCATTTTTGTGTACAGCGGTGCCAATAGAACAGGAAAACCGTGTGCTTTCTTCGTCTAAATGAAGGGGGGAAGGACAGAGGGACTGGGAGGAAAGAAAGAAAGGGAGATGGATAGTGGCGCTTAACGACCGGGTTCGTGGGGGATTTGTTGTGATTGAATGAGGCTCTTCGCCGGAGAAAGAGAGAGGGAGAGAGAGAAAGAAAGAAAGAAAGAAAGGAAGACAGAGGGAGACAGAGGAGGAGGGCGAATGCCGCACTTTTCAGACACTCATGTTGCCTCTAGAAGGAGGTCCGGCGACCGCGGGCATCAGCGGCCTTGGCACCAGCCATCATGGCCAGGAAATCTTCCTCAGAATCACCGCCCTTGTCAAGGGTATCCTGCTCGGACGCCACCGGCGCGGTATCGGCTTCGGGCACGGCGGGCATGATGCCGCTGTTAAGCCACATCTCAACCTGCGACTCGAGGCCACCCTCTTCTGGCAGCTGGCGTGTCTTGTCCTTCAACTGGGTGAAGTACGTGTCGACATCTTGGATGAATGCGGAACGAGTGAAAAGAGACACGTCGATGGAGACCTTCACACGAGTCAGGAACAGCAACCGACGAGCCGGGTGCTGAAAAGCAAGGGCATAAATTTCCCCGCCGCCAATGACGAAGGATGACCCAACAGCCACGGGCCCGGCATCAGTGAGCAGGGGGCCGGCCCTCCGGAGTTCCTGGACCAAGTTCAGGGCACAATCAAGCGAGCCCACCTTCCGAACCAGTGGATGATCGGGGATGTTGGCGCTATTTCCACTGCTCGACCATGCAGCGGGCAGCACCAGGGAGGCGCAAAGACCACATGCCAGTCGTGAGTCACCGAGAGACAGGAGGAGCCAATCAACATGCATGCGCGGCATATGCCCATGCGCAGGGGGGTACATACCGAGTAAGGACAATGTTCAGTCGTCCAGGAAGAGGGCGAAACTTGTCCGGCAGCGACTGGTAGGTGATTCGGCCCATGATGACCACATTCACGAAAGGCGTCGAGTCGGGGACGAAGCTGGGTCTCGCGGTGGTTACCCGGCGGAAGTGCGCGAGATCCGACTTCAAAGTCCAGGGGATGTAGCTGTCGCCACCGATGAAGTTGTTGGTGCTGGCGGCGACCACCAGGTCGAATTGTCCACATGGAGGCGGGCAATCAATCTCGGGAAACATGATTGGCGGAGACATGATCGAGAGAGAGGCGAAGGAGGATCGGCGAGAGAAGGGGGGGGGGAGGCGGAGGGCTAACCGTTTCGTGCACATGCCGCCGGGGAGATTCCTTCAAAAGGTAGCTGCGTTGGCAGCCAATCGAAATGTGGATCGCTCCACGAGAGTAGGGGCTGCCGGAGTTTTAGGGCGGAGGGGACCGGCCGCCGGTGCCATCTTCTCACCAACCCCTGCAATCGGCCGTGGCTTTGCCTTTCTCCTTGTTCCTCTGCCCTCCTTCCCCTTCTGCCTTTGGCTCGGGCCTCCCGCTCGCTCCCCCCCCCCCCCCCCCTTTCTCCCTCGCTTTGCCCATCTCCTTTCCCCTCTCTCGTTGTTCCCATTCCCACACCCTCCCGCTCGGGCGCACGTCACCCTCTCTCGTCCCTTCTACCTCTCCTTGTGTCAACATGTTACCGGTTGAGTCGAGCATCCAGCAACGAAGGGTACGCGCCGCCTTTGGACCGCTCGTTGGGCATTCCCAATGGACTAATCCCGTCTGTGTATCTGCCCTCCCGGAAGGACGCACTGCTAGATCGCATGGTGGCTGCCCTCGTACGTAGCTATGCCCGGGAGCCCAATGCTCCATCGGCCGGATCCGTGGCCCATGATGCGCTTGAGTCCTGTGCGTATCTCGAAAGCTCCCTGACCGACGTCTGGCCCTTCCCGGTACTGACACCGGCTTCGCCTTTTGCTTGCAAGTTTCCGCCTGGAATCGGAAGCGCGCCCTGCGTGCTCTCAATTCGCCGATAGCCCGGGAGAATCTGTGGTCTCTCATGAAGGCAAGGAATCTTGCTCTCCGGCACCGGGCGATGACAAATCAGGCCCACTCTCGGGGGCCGGCGTCGGGCGGGAGCTCCGCCCAGGCAACCACGGGGGATACGCCGACTGATGGATCGGCGCCGATCGATTTGAACCTGGCTCGTGAGTGCGTACTCGATGACAAGTGGCGTATTCTTGAGATGGAATCTGACCTCGTGGGCACCCTTCGGGTGGGGCTGGGCGCATCTTGGCATCTACAGGTACATTGCCCTCCGGCGGCGAGTTCTTATTCGTGGCCGGCTGTTGGCCCACACGGAGGCCACCCTCCGGCGGACGCGCGGGTGTATTGCCACGGCCGAGCTCCTGGCTGACGAGTGTGATGCCGGCACCTTTGTCCGTTTGCCGACCGGTGGTGCGCTCTCTCCGCCAGAAACACGTCCACCGAGGTGTGTGGCTGGCTTTCTGACGGTACATATCACCCCCCCCCCCCCCCCCCACACACACACACATGCACATACGTACGCACGCGCCTCATGGCAGGGCGCACCAGTGGTGGACCCGTCACCACAGATGCCAGGCTGGATTTGGTCGCAGATGCAGAGTCCACCGGATACCTGTTGGCTGTGGCACAAGACCAGCAGACATCGCACAACTCCACATCCGGAGCAGACCAAGAACCCTGAGCCGATCCTGGGAGGCCAAAATACAGACAACCATCCAGAACGTGTCACCCTTTGTGCCCTTTTTTTCCCCCGCCCGCCAGAGGGCTGAGACTCTTTCTCATAGGTGCATCCGTTGGCATCTGGGCCGTATCGCGGTGCGTCTAGCTTGGTCGGCCTGGACAGTGGATGGGCGGCCTCGAGCTCGGGGGGGGAGGGGAGTACCCAAGCAACAGATGTGGAGATCACTCCGCCGAGCGGGGCCCACGCAATGGGGGCTCTTTTTTATTGGCCGGACAACGATCATCGCAGGTCTCCACTGCATGAAGAGCAGCCTCCGGGTTCCCTTGTCGAGCGAAGAACCTCCCATCACCTCCTTCGCTCTCTCGCTCGCTCTCTCTCTCTCTCTCTCTCTCTCGCTATTTCCCCTTGCTTCCCTCTCCCCCTCTTTGCCTCCTCTTCCCACGCTAAGCCCTGCTCTGTGGGCTCTCTCTCTCTGTCACACTCCTACGCCCTCGTCTCCCGGTGAACCATGTCCGGGGATAAACGCCAGGCGCCTGGGGTCCAGTCTAACCATGACACCGGGAAAGACCAGCCGGAGCCTCCGGTGCGCTTGCCTCACCCAATTGTCCCCCTTCCTGGCATCCGGCCCTAACCCCTTTGCTCCGGCCATTGGCTCCTACACCATGCCCGCATGGCCACATAGCCCTCCTGTCGCCTGTTTGTTGCTGGCCTCGATCCTCGAATCACAGAGTGCGTCCCTCCGGCTGACGCCCTTTCGCCCATGACTCCACCTCTTCCCCGGGGGTGTTAACCTACCATCGTTTCACAGGAAGGAGTTGATCATAGTGTTCAATCGCATCGGCGGCCTCAAGCAGGTGACCATTCCCCACCATAAGGAAGGACCGCGCATCGGCCAGCGCCGGGATTTTGCCTTCGTCGAGATGGAGTCGGAAACGGTGCGCATCATCGACATGCCCGATTGTGGCCCGCTCTCTTTGTCTCCCTTTGCTCTTCCTTCCTCGCATGCTTGGCACTTGCACCGCTAACTCACCATGTGCACGCAGGATGCCATGTCGGCCAAAACCCGCCTCGACGGCTTGCTCCTGGGCCATCGACGCCTGGTGGTCCGCTTCGCATCGGCGAAAGTGCGCCCGCCTGTGTATGCCCTTTTGGTATCTTGCGCCGGGCACATGCTAACCCCCTCATGTGTGGCTCCGCCCACTGTCGCCCCAGACCCATGATGGCTTCCGCGGCCGGTCGGATTCCTCAACCGGCTTCCAGGCCATGGTGGACCCGGTTACCGGGCGAATCGTGGCTTCCACTCAGGAGGCAGTCCTTGGGGTGGATGAGCACGGGCGCGCGGTCACCGCATCCAAGGCAGCCTCTCAGGCCAAACGGGCTCAGGCCCTGTCGGAACAGCTTGTGCAGTGCGTGCACAAACACCCTATTCCCTCGCCTGCATTTCCCACTCCCCCCCCCTACACACACACACACACACACACACACACACACACACACACACACACACACACACACACGCGCGCGCGCGCGCGCGCTACCACTATCATCACACCAAGCCCTTCGGGCTGCCTGCCCATCATCCGCTCGCCCTGTTTGACATGAGATGGCTGACACATGATATGCCGCTGGTGTAGAACCACGACCCCGGGAGCCAGGATTGCCCTGTTGCGGGATCGCCTTCGTCGGATCAACCGGGTCACCTCGGATGCCGACCGGCAGGATCGGCTGCGAACTACACGCGCCGAGCGCGCCTCCTCCTCAGCAGGGGATGCCTCTCCCTCGCCCTCGCCGTCGCCGTCGCCCTCGCCCTCGCCGTCGCCCTCTGGAAGGGAGAATCCCTGATGTGAAGTCGCCCGACCCTCTGGCAATGAAGAAATCATAAACAAAAGTCCTCGAGATGCTCTTTTTATTGGGCCCAATGGCACAATGTGTCCAAGCTATGGGAAGGGACCGGGTCAAGGGGGGGAGGGATGGCCATACATGCTCGGCAGAACACTCCAAAGGGAATACATCAGGGAGGCGGGCAAAGGGGGGGGGGGGGCCACATTGTGTAGACGCCGCTTTTAGAAGCGCTTGCGGTGACCGCCAGTGACGGCGCGCGCCGCCAGGACAATGATGACAACGGCAATCGAGCCGAAGGCAAACATGAAGATCCAGTTGAGCGGGCTCAGGCTGGAAGACACCTTGTTGCCGGAGGTGCCGGTGGCCTTGTTGGCGCCGCGGTTCGGCCGGCGACGGTTGTGGCTCGGCTTGGGGGGCAGATGCTCGCGACCCTGGTTGGCCCCGCCGGCGGGGCGGCCAGTGTCCTCCGGCACCGGGGCAGTATCCTCCTGGGGGCTGTTGTTGTTGTTGTTGTTGCGAGAAGGCGGAGTGTAGGGAGGGGGCTGGCCCTGCTGGTTGTTGTTATGCTGCTGTTGCTGCTGCTGGGAATGGCCACCGGTATGAGCGCCGCCGTATGGAGGGGGCGGCTGCTGCTGCTGTTGCTGCTGCTGCTGCTGGTTGTTATTGTTGTTGACGTTATTGCGATGGGTGGGGTTGCGGTTGGCCTGGTTCTGACCATAGTCCGGCTGCTGCTGACGAGGGGGAACGCCGGCCTGCTGCTGGCGATTGCCAGGCTGGTTAAGGTGGTTGCGACGAGGCGGCACGGCAACGGGCTTGCTCATCGAGGTGGTGATCGAGATAATATCATGCTCATCGGACACATCGCCGGTCATGGCGGTGAATCCCAGGAAGTACCGGTCCGGAAGGGTGATGTCCTCCACACTGAAGCAGGTCTCGAAGGTGTTGTCACCACGAATGTCAAGGTCCAGGGAGAAGACGCCGTCCTTGTAGACAGCGCGCGCGCGGGTCGGGTGCGTTGGCCGGCGGAAGCGGGCCTCGCAGCCGGCCGCCTGGTTGGACTCGTTGTCATCATCGCCGGAGTACGTGCGCGAACCGTCATTGACCATGAGCGAGACATAGGGGAACATATACTGAGGCAAGGAGGTCGGTGAGTCGAGGGGGGGGGGGGCAACAGGCAGAAAACAGGGGCCAAGGAGGGGTGCACATACCGGGTGACGGGTGTTGGCGAAGGTGTCAAAGAAGACGGCCAAGCCATTGAACTGGGTCGGGCCGCCAAGCGCCTCGCCAGCTGGGAGACCGGGAGACCGGGAGGGTGTCAGAGGAGAAGGAAGAACGGAGCAAAGGTAGGTGGAGAAAGAGATGGGGGGGGGGGGAGGAAGAAGGAATGCACTGGTGGAAAAATAGGGCGCAAGGGAAGACAGTGAAGGACACGCACTGGCAACATGGCGCTCGCTGGTCATCCAGAGGGCGAAGCCGTCGCCGAAAACGCGCGAGGCCTTGCCATCAACACGGAACTCGAATTCGACCGTAAAATCGCCAGCAGGCATCGGCTGAAAGGGGAAAGGCCATGAGACAGCAGACCGGAGGAGCATGCGAGTGAGTGTGCGTGCATGTGCGTGCGCGCTGGGAGAGGGGGAAAGGGATGTCAAAGGGGCGGAGGGCCGTCAATTGGCGTACCTCCTTCGACCAGAGCCACCCGCGACGGGAGGGCCGGTCGGGGGTCAAGCGAATGTACTTGTTGTTGTGGACAACGGTGCTGCCACCGAAGTCCCAGTAGCGGTTTTCCAGGTTGGAATCTGCGCAAGGAGGGCGGTCGCAAAAGAGGGGAGTGTCAGAAAGAGAGAGAGAGAGAGAGAGAGAGAGAGAGAGAGAGGGAGGGAGAAAAGCAAAAGGTAGCGAGGCGGTGGCCAGTCTGGCTGGGGGGGAAAGGTTGGCCACACGAACCGACATAGGGGCTGCGGAGGCTGTGACTGCGAACGTTGATCTCGCGAGTCGGCGGCGCCTGATTCGTGCGGGCCTGAGTAGGGGTGCGCTGGCCGGCGACCAGGCCGACGCAAAGCAGCGACAGGGCCAGGACCGCCAGGAGCACCGAAAGGATGCGCAGCGAGCGGAGAGGCCCGGCAGCCGCGGCGGAAGATGCCATGGCGTTGGGGGCGTTGGTGAAGGGGGGGGGAGAGGGAGAGGAAGGGAGAGGGGCTTTAGGGGGGGGGAGAGCGTGGGGTTCAGAAGTCGGCGGGGCATCGAGGTCTTTTCGCTTGTTTTTTTCTCGCTGCACGCTGGCGCTGGCGGAGATCCCCCCCACCGGGCGGGCACACAGAGCGGCCTGCCTCGAGCTACATCTGCCCTCGGCCCAGAGGGTAACAGTATATTGTTGCTGGCCTTGGCAAGCGAAAGTGCCTGTCCCCAGCCCCCCTCGATTCTTTGGGACTTTCAGTGATGAATGCGCCCAGGGGGGGGGGGGGGGGGGCAGAGTGTCGGAGAGTGGGGGGCCGGCCACCTTCCAGAACGGTATGACGCGGGCTGATGATTGGGGCCCGTTCACGCTCCCGGGAACAGCCCCGGGCGCGCCCCCCCCCCCCCACCTTCTAGATAAAGGCAGCCCATGTCAAACGAGGTCTCGCGACAGCCATGGCGAGCGGGGGAGCTCGAGGGCAGAGCTGAGTCCACGGGGAGGGGGGGGGGGGGGGGGACGGGTGCGATAGGCAGACGCTCTTGGCATTCGGTCAGGTCGAGGTATCCGGTCTCGGGCGAGGCGAGGCGATGTGCGTGGGCATTTACAGATTCCAGCCAGCCGGTGCTTGCTTTCTAGAACTGACATGGTGTCTCTCGGTATATGACTCGTGCGCCGATCGCCGTGCTTGGCCGGGGGTCTGCAGGACGAGGTATGTTGAGCGTCCGGAGAGTGGAACAAAGTGCGGGAACCAGGGGGGGGGGGGGGGGGAGGGACAAGCCACGGGCCGGGGAGCCGGCTGGGGCAACGTGCCACCGGGTGAATCTTGGGCATGTGGCTTTCTCGTGATGCCCCTTATCGGGCGTGATCTGGTTTTCCGGCCTCCGTGTTCGGCTCTGCGCGGAGTTCGCCCGGGGTCCCCAAATTAGGCGCGCAAAACGCCTCGGCCAGCGGCACCTGCATTGGCATCATCCGCGGGAGAGTCCGGAGGGGAGGAAAGAAAGGGAGAAAATTGAATCGGCCCTCTTCTTGGCTGCGGAAAAGAGCTCGGAGAGGGCTCGCGGTTCCGTCGGACCGCTCTCGAGTCCCTCCCTCGGGGGGAGGCCGGCGAGGCCCACGGAGGCCGAGGCGAGGGGGGAGGCCTTGTACGCACCACACACGCACAAATACACACGCCAGGAAAGCAAATGGTCTTCCCAAGGATGAGACCAAAGGCTCGGGGGTCGCCTGTGGCAGGGTGGCTTGGTGCATCCTTGTGAAAGCCTTGGGACTCTCACAGGCACAGGGGGCGCGGCAGCCGGTCAACCGCCAGGCCAGGAGGGAGGAAAGTCGTCTGCGATACCGAGAACACCTTCTTTATGGCGGAGGGGCGCAGGCCGCGGCCCTCCCGGCGGGAGGGGCAGACGGGGCAACGGCCTCTGGGATGGCAGCCGGCGGCTGCGGACAGCCGCCGGCCTGTGCCGGAACACCGCGGCAGGCCTTCCTCTGGCGGTGGCGGGCCGGCCGGCTGGCACATGGGCCCGGCCGAAAAGAGAGGCCCCCGAGCGCAGTGTGTCTCGGAGGAGGAATGTGCTGACATCACTTTTGCCCATATCGGGGCCCCTTTCCCCGGCCACCCTCACCGACGCAGGTCTCGCGGCTGCAGCGCTGTGCTGTCTCGCGCGGGGTGTCTGCTGTGCGTTCGCAAAGAACGGTGGTCCGCTGGCGCTCGCGCTTGCTCTTGCCAAGCTGATGGTTGGCGTGGGCGCCTTATTGGCCCCCGGAGGGGGGAGGGGGGGGGGATGATGAGCGCCCGGCCCGGTCCGTGGAGGGCGACAAATTTTCCCGCCTCCGAGGGGGTGAGGGTTGAGCCACGACATCGGGTAGTCAACCATCAGCACTGGCGTCTGCGCCTTGGGCAGGCGCGCCTTTCATGACCGCGTCTCTGTGGCGGGGGATCTGGGGCGACTGGGGCGCGCTCCCGGGGGGGGG